GTGTCACCAGCCTTCCCTGCCAGACACACACACACACACACACACACACACACACACACACACACACACACACACACACACACACACACACACGAGTACAAGGACGTCTGTCACTCAGCATTCCCACCATTAGAATTGTTCTATTTTTGTTGTACAAAAATAAAACCCATAGCATGTCCATAACTAACCCGGCAGCGTCTGTTGTGACGAATGCGTCACAGAACGTGCAGCACGCAGCTTTTCTCACCTGACGGATACAGTCGATGGTGCAGTCTTGAGGTCTGATGGTCCCTGTCGAATTAACGGGAAACTGGAGAAGCCGAACGGATACAAAAAGTTGACATAAAATCAGGACTGCCCTCCACATTCTGAAGTCACCACCATACAAACTTTTTAACGCCACGTACGACCGAAATGAAGCACTGAGAGGAGGTGAGAGAGCGAAGCGAAGTGTTCTTTCAGTGTTTTGAGTGAGAAGGGATTCAGGAAGTAAAAATCAGTGCAGCCAGGCCCACATGGTGCCTCAAGGTTGTCGGGTGGGTGGGGAAGTGGGCGTGTGTGGCATGATCGCATGAGCGTGTCAAAACAAATCCACGGCTGACTCAAGACCCATTATGCATTGTTATCCTGCAATTACAGCCAAAAAGAACCAGGAACCTCCAAGTGTCATGACAGGTACAATTTAATAAGCAATATTTACACTGAGAAAAGCAGGTTTACATGGGAGGTAATGAATGTTTGAGGGTTTTTTTAAGCATCACAGGGAGAGAGTCCAACTGTAGAAGGGCGCGGCAGAGTTACGCTTGAAGACAGGAAAAGTTCACTGAGCTTCACCGGATCTGGAAAAAGACAACAAAGGGAATCCCCGACTTACGAAATAATAATCATAATAATAAATTCGACAAAATTATAAAATAAAAAAATCTGATCTAGGTCGCATATGTTAAAAAAAATTCAATCAGTTGGATTTGCCTGCAGTGTGAACCTAGACTTAGTTCACCTGTAAAGGTTTTAGCGTATCTTAGGCTCCTCTTGAAATGTCACTCGAAAGCTCAATTTCAGTAACTTTGAGTGAGAACTGTGTATGTACCGTAATCATTTCTTTTCACACTTGTGACAATTCAACTTGTTGACAATTCATATGCGTCGTGTCCATCACCCTGCAATATGTTTGAATGATATCATCCGTGGCTACATTTATTTTTACACTTGCATGAAAGCTACGACTGTTAACCCATGACTGAAAACATTCCCTGTGCAATTTGTAAAGGTGTACTAACTCGAGCTTACTTGTGCAAAGGCAGACTTTTTTTTTTTTCAAATGCTGCAGAACTTTACGGCTATTCAAAATGTACACGCGGGCAGATGATTTGCTTTTTGGCGAGTGGGAGGGGTTCCGGGCACAACGAGTGAGGTTGACCAACATGCAAGCTCTGAGCCAGACATACTGTATAGCAGATGCAAATTCGAAATGACGCTCAAGGACCTGCGGAAGAAAACCAAAGCTCACCGTGTACTTGTCCCATTTCTTCTCAGGGTCGTACGGCTCCCAACGGCTGGCGGGGAAGATGTGCTTGTTCTTCTCGTACCAGCTCCTCAGCACGACTTTACCTGCGTGAGACTTATGGACAGAGAGAGCACAATTGCACGAAGGTTGATTTGGAAAGGTCTCTTTTTAAGACTGGGATGCTCTGAGGTTCCATTTAGATGGACTCATAGCCCAAAAAAAAAAAAAACGCTATTAGCCACCCAATAGATTTCTTACTGGAAAGAATCTTACATAGCAAAGATTATATTTGATGGCTAATATCTTCATTTTGCCGTGTCTACTGCAGACCACAAACTCTCAAAACAACCCAGGAACTTCATTCAAGTTTTTCAATGACCCGTTTTGTGCACCGAGCTCAAATAGAAACAATTTCCGGTACATTACAACCTGCTCACGATGGTCTTTACCTCATCTTTCTCGACAGTGGCATCATTGACCAGACGGATGTCATCGTGGACGTCAAAGCTGAAGAGAGGACCTGTTGGGGTAGGAACAAATAAGTCTACTAAATAAGGGCAGACAGTATACCTATGTGCTTTAATCTTTACGATGTTGGGGGCGGGGTCATTAGAGTCGTAAATGTAGGCGCACGGAAAACGCAAGCTTAAATTGTGTCTTTTCTTCGGTGCAGGAGTGAATGTGTGTGTGAGATGCAGGCAAGCGATGAAAAGAGGATTAGGAAGGTTCATCAGAAGAAGAAAATGTGCTATGAAACAAGAAAATAGAAGTCGACAGGGAATTTAAAAAATGTTGTCGATATTTGTTAAGAGGCTTCATAGATGCAAACAGTGGATCAAGGAGACTGCCACAACACCAAATGCACTTCTATTCACAATAAACCCACCGCACGCAACGTGATGAGCGCTTGGGCAGGAGAACGAGACCCAATACGAGAGCTAAATCTAAAGTCCTGCCCTTCGCAAAGACTGCTTACCTGATTTGCCCCTGGCTTTGGTCACAATGAAATCATAAAAGCTGTGATGCTAAATGTGACAGAAAGGGGGGTGGGCGTTAGAATTCCAAAGTCCTTTTTTAAGAAGCCATTTCATGTGTTGTAAACTAATGAAGGGAGCAATTTAGGCCACTTACATGCGGGATGATCAAATCTTCTTTAATATACATCAGCTGCTCAACTCCAGCAGACCTGCACAGAGAACAAGGCCTCCTTCTATTGAGCAAATGTCCAATCGCCCTGGAATCACCCGGCATCTCAACAATTTTTGGAAAATAATCTAATTGCGATTGTTTATTTCAATCCGCCCCCTCGATAATGCCATTACGATTTAATGTGGTTATTTTGTTCTGGTGTATTTTGGAAAAACTGCAGCCGCATTACAATAATTAGTGTCAGACTTATGATAGATAAATGTTTTGGTTTTACAGGTTAGGCTTACCTTCAAACGAAGGCAAATGAACGACATAGACTTATTTAGCTACTTTTGCTAACTGACTAAACATGTTAGCTTGCAGTCTTTGAGGTGTTCGCGACCGCAACTTCACAACATTTGACCAAACAAGTGTGGCGTGAATCTAAATCGGTCTGGTAAATCATAAATCAGGTTACAACAAAAACGGAAACAATTCTGTGGCTTTATTATTTCAGCTTTTCATGTTTCGCGGAAAATGTTAGCGTGGACTGCAATTCTTAAGGACTAATCTTACCAAATCACTAAATAAATACATATATTATATGTTTAAATAAAATGACAAGCATTCTGACTGACCAAAATGCCTTTGTGATTATGAAACTTGAATTCTATCCAACTGCAGTGTTCATTTGAATTCCATTACCAGTAATTGTTCAGCCCTACTGAAGACTGAGTCACTCATGCTTCTGATTTCCTGAAGCTAATCATAATCATGCAGCGTTGCTTCATCATCTCGTCATCATGATAAGTCGGTGAAAACTGAGACAAACAGTTGAAGAGCTGCCAGCCGCCACCGTCGTTGACAAATTCGTTTCAGTTGTCAAAAAGCAAGTCATGACCCCTTACACGAACCCCTACAAACCAAACGAGGTCATCTCCTCCTCTGACCTGAGCTCACTGAAGTCCTTCCTTAGGACTTCCAGGGCCCTCTGCAGAAAGTTCTGGATCGTGTTTCCCTTCTTCATCTGAATCGGAAATAAAACACGACGAGAGCATGAGAGCGACGAATAGAGGAAAGCTTTGGCAGAGCTCTTCAGCGCGGCCAGTGTGCCACACCTTGACGGTCTTGCGATGGCCAGATCCATCCCAGTAACTGAAGGTAATCTCGATCTCCTCGCCTGAGCGATAAAAACATACATATGTGCAAACACTTTATTGGGACAAAACTGACCTTAAATGAGCCAAAAAGTCGATGAGAGCGTTTGGTGCATTTGGAAAACACACTCTTGATCTTCTCTTGCTTGAGCTCCCACTCCTGTCTGAGCTCTTCTCTGAGACGATTCTCTTCCTCCTGAACACCAAAAAAATGAATCAGAATTCATTAAAAGAGAACATTGTGGGGTTAAGGACCTTTTTTTTGCACAACGCTTTAATGATAATAGAATCATTTAAACAAAGTCGGACACGGATAAATACAAATATGTAAACACTGTTTCCACCCATCTCTGCAGGTGTTCATGTTTTCAAATGATCACGTCTGTAAAATGTCTCGTAAATTACAATGCCACATCACTGGTGAGAACAGGGCATGCGGGATCATTCTTGGGCATCTTGGGGGTATCTGGTGCCCACTGGAGCCATGTTGACAACCCGTATGCACTCATCTGTAACCCCGACACATTCACATACGATATCTTGTCGCAGCAGTGCTGCAGCTTGACGGACTTTGTCAAATAGCCGTCGATGTTTCTTTGATTTTATGTTTCTACAATCATGTCTGGAGACCCAAATAACGTGTGTCCAATTCCATTCAATCGCTGGTGAATGTTGAAATGTTTAGCAACTTCAGATTGCCACTCTTTGTTTCTCTGTAGCCAGTGTGAGCTGATGGCAATGCTGCATGAGATCATTGTACTTGTTTCTCAGTGGAAAAATGGGAGGTGTCTAAGGTGTGGCTCCTTTTGTTTTGAGGAATTGTTTTCCTTCAAAACGAAAGAACAACAAACAAGAAAATCTTTCCAGATGAACTACAATATGTGTCCTGTGTGCAATATAAGCCTCAGTTCCACACTCCCTCTACTACTACCACTACTGCTGCTGTTGTTGTGTGTTGTTGTTGAGTTTTGTATTTATTAACCTGTTATTTTATTTTCTTACTAAATGCACTAAGGAGTGGCACCCAAATTTCGTTGTATGACATACAATGACAAAAAAGGCGATTCTGATTCTGATTCTGATACATCACCAACGAATGTGGAATAACTGAAGCATACTTCTCGGTCGCGATCAGGAAGGAAACTTGTGTCCACATCAGGATTTTTCCCAAGCTTCTTCTTCTTTACGGGGACATCTAGAAGAGAAGAGATGCCCGTCTTTATATACAAGAAGAGTTGTGTATGACAGGAAAAGAATGAAGACACACTTCTTCTATGAAAGCAAAAAAGATGTTTCTATTCGGGCTGCAGCTATCAAATTCGATTAGAATTGAGTATTCAAATGAAAATGCCATCAATTACTCAAGAGGAAAAATGCTTTTTCCTGATTAAACAATCCCAATCATATTCATAATGGAAATGACAGGCCCGTTAAATAGACCAAGCAATTGGCTTGTATTTCTGCAAAAGCTACAGGTATAGTATTTATGACAACTCGAACTGTTGGCTCCAACACAAACGTGTGCGTTCGGGAAAAAAGACAAGACATTTAAAACAAGTTTTCTGCTACTTCTAGTATCTAGTAGTGGTGCAACGGACAAAAAAATTCAACAGTTCAGATTGGATCACGGATTTGAGTCAAAAACAAGATAAATAGAACTTTGTCTTTATTCATTTTGTAAAACACTTTTGCC